CGGATCTGAAATGGTTATATAATAACCGTGAGAACGAGTCTCAATAAGCAACCCCCTAAACCCCACGTAGGCCAATGCGTACCCAGACAAGTCATACATGCAATCTACCCCATAACATATAAAATTCGCATCATTGTACTTACCTCGCCATCAAGTCCATGCCAACTCTACACGTTAGCCGTCACGTGATAAGGCAATAATAGTAATTAAATAACACATCACAAATCGCTCAAACACCAACCACGCTTTCACTCAATCACTCCAACTAATTCAACCAGTCAATTCAATCACACTCAATTCGCATGCATGGCCGAGCAACTTTCCATGACCTCCCAAGTCCTTTCACACAATCCGCGTCAACACGCCTCAGGTCAGCCCTCAGATCAAGCTGGGTTCAGTCCCGCGTAACCACGCCTCAGGACATTTCTCTCGATCCGCGTAACCACGCCTCAGGTCATTACTTGCCTTTCTAGCCACACCCGCGTAACCACGCCTCAAGTTGGCAGCCCTCAGATCAAGCCGGGCTCAGTCCCTCGTAACCACGCCTCAAGACATTTCTCTCGACCCGCGTAACCACGCCTCAGGTCATCACTTGCCTTTCTAGCCACACCCGCGTAACCACGCCTCAGGTTGGCAGCCCTCAGATCAAGCCGGGCTCAGTCCCGCGTAACCACGCCTCAGGACATTTCTCTCGACCCGCGTAACCACGCCTCAGGTCATCACTTGCCTTTCTAGCCACACCCGCGTAACCACACCTCAGGTTGGCAGCCCTCAGATCAAGCCGGGCTCAGTCCCGCGTAACCACGCCTCAGGACATTTCTCTCGACCCGCGTAACCACGCCTCAGGTCATTACTTGCCTTTCTAGCTACACCCGCATAACCACGCCTCAGGTTGGCAGCCCTCAGATCAAGCCGGGCTCAGTCCCGCGTAACCACGCCTCAGGACATTTCTCTCATGCACATGCACCACCACACAATCTATCATCTAACACATCGTACATTTCACAATCAAATTACCAAGCTCACACCAATGTCAATCTGACACACTATAACGACCAATTTAATTCACACTCCCCACATCAATCCACCGATTCGACATTCATGTCGGCACATTCAAATAATCCAATTCACCCACAAGCGCCACGACAATTCAGTCAGGCATATTTATCTCAGTCAATCACTAAATCAGCCACACAATTATCGCCACAATAATTCACCAATTAAGCACAATCAGTCTAATTAGCCCACGTCTAATTAAATTCCTAAGCCGGTACTAAATTTCACCCTAAACAAGTCTAAAAATACCCAAAGTACTAGGTAGGGTTTAGGAAGTCACTTACCTAAGTTTGGCCCGGAAAAGTCGGCTCGGGCCCAAAATGGCCCGGTGAAACGACGGGATCGGGCGCGAGCGCGGCCAACAGGGCGCGGTGGCCGGCCAACGCGGCACAATGGCCGATCGGCGTGCCTGGCGCTGCGGGCGCGATGGCCCTGCGGCGTGCCGGGCGCACGGGCGAACGGACGGGCGACGTGCTCGGTCGGATGGGCGACGCGCCTGGTCCGGACGGCACGCGCCGGGCGAGCTCGGCCACGGCCCGGCCGGGCTCTGGGCCGCTCGGCCACGGCCCGGCCGGGCTGGGTCGGGCCGTGGCTAGCTGGCGGTCGAGGCGGCGACCGGCGGCGCGACTCCGCGATAATCCTGGCAACAAGGACCTACGGTGGCGAGCTGACTTACGACGAGCCGCAGTGAGGGGCGGAGGCTCGGCCTGGGCGGCGAGAGGAGAGAGAGAGTGAGGTTGGCTAATCGAGGCGGATCAAGGCGTGCATGCGGCACACAAGCGACGGCTGACGGCAATGGCAACAAGGACTAGTGACGCGGCGGCGACGAGCCGGGAGGAGAGATGGAGGTCGGCTCATGCGGCGAAGCGGTGAGTGGAGCGGCAGAAGGCCGGGCCGTGATGTGGGCAGCGCCGCGGCGATCTCGGCCCGGACAAGCCGGGCGACGGCGAGTCGGGCCATGCAGTTAGCGGACGACGCCGGGCGGCTGAGAGGACGCGGCGGCGGCTCGCAGCAGTGAGAACGGCGGCAAGCCGAGCTCACGCGCTCGGGAGGAGGAGAAGGCAGAGTCGGGCGGGGCTACCGGGCGATACGGCGGCGCGACGACGGCGCAAGGAGGACGGCGGCATCGGCGGCTGGTGGGGCGGCGTCGGGCGGAGGCGGAACGTCGGTCGAACGGCGGTCGACGAGCAGGGCACGGCGGAGCAAAACCAGTCGGGCGAAGGAAGAAGGAGAAGAAGAAGAAGAAGAAGAAGAAGAAGAAGAAGAAGAAGAAGAAAGAAAAGGGAAATAAGGGAAGAGGAGAGAGAGAGAGAGTGGTTGCATGGGGAAGGGGAAACATGCGCATGGCAGGGGGTGGGACGTGCGCGGAGGGGACGTGCTCAGCGCGGCAGAGGGAGGAGAGAGAGAGAGAGAGAGAGAGAGAGAGAGAGAGAGAGACTCAAAGTCAAACCTCTCACTCGAGTGCGATCCAACGGACACGGTTCAAACCCGAAAACGATCTAACGGTCCCCTATAATCCTAATTAATAATATAGGAAAATGGCCAAAATAAAATATGCCAAAACACACCACGAGGGAGGTCTACCAGTCCAAATCCGCACCCGGTCAAAAATCCACTTTTCACATACTCCGGATAATACCGACGCTGGCCACAATAATATCGACACCGTCCAATTAAATTCGTCGCGGAACTCCGAGAAATTCGACACTAAAGTTTGGGCTCTAAATAACGGCCAAATTCGATCGAGTGCGATTCTAGCGAAATCTCTAATATAAAAATAATAAAAAACCCAGGAGTGATCAGTTCCGGGCGAGATTTTATTATAAGCGCACTGACGAATTATACGTTTTATAAATCCCAAAAATGGGCCAAAATTCGGAATGTCACAATTACCTGCCCTCCAAATCGAAGATCACGAATCATGCTAGCTAATATTTTTTATTTTGCAATTTTTCTCGTAATTATTAACTAGAGGCAACGCATGGAGCGAGATCGTCATGTAGGGAAAGAAATATTTATAGCCACTAGAGGAAATTGGCGAAGTTGATGGTTTTAACATAAAATGAGATCATCCGTTTCTTATGTAATTGTTTCGGGGAAGTAGATGAAGTTGGTGGATAAAGTAAGTAGTCACAAAAAAAAGTGGGTAAAATCGCTTCAGGTTTTTTTCAATAAAAAAAATTGCTTCTTTTATTATATGCTCTTCATAACTTTAGATTTAGATTAGATTACTGAAATAATTTATTACAAAGAAAAAGATCCGCGTGAATGTGCATGAACCATTCAAAAGTACGGGACTTCCACCAAATTATATATGAAGGCAGACAGACATAGAGTTACGACTGAGTACGACAAATTTAATGACTCATACCCACATGATATCCTACCCATATGAAGTATATCCAACGTCTTGAACGATAAGACATTTTGCAATTTTTGATCTTCAAGGATTGAAATCCTGAAACATCAATAGGATGAACTTTCAACTGCCAAAGGAATATTGGCACTTTGTCTCACAATGCCAGAGCAAATGTAAAGAAATGGTAGGACAAATGTAGTTTAACCCAGGATCAGATGAGTAGGACAAGATCGATCAAAATTGACAGTTTTTTTATGCTTTGAACAAATGGAAGTTGCACTCTAGGATACGAAAGACAACTCCTATCTCAGGAGTGAACTTGTCCTGATTGCCAAACTACTCTGTGATAAAGCAAACTCATATTGGACCTGTAATGGAGTTCATCCCAACATACATAATCAACAGCTGAGTCGACCCCAAGCATTGGCATAATGCTTGAATTGTCATTGTTACTGTTGTGTGTGTGTTCTGTGCCACCACCAGCAGAGAGCGCACGCTCCAGAGAGAGAGAAACCCTCGATGGGACATAAAGAAAGTGGACATCGCCCGAAAACTTCCGTGTGCGAACCATCATCATCTAACTCTGTATTCATTGCCTTGAGATAGCATGACAGCACACCAGAAAGACAAAGCAAGAGGAAGGTATAGGAAAACAACCATGCGATTGGATCAGCCACTCGTAGAGACACTCATGATTCATTTTTCAAGTTCCAAAAAAGCAGAGTAGGATCTAAACCTGTGATCTTGCGACGACCAAACAGTGAAGCCCAACACGAAATCGCAATGACGATAAACGCTGATGATCTTTTTTTTCAATATAAATGATGATGATTACTAGTGTGAATAAGCACATGACTGAGACTATGGCTATGTTACAGTCAGCAATCAATCGCATTACTCAACGAAGCACAAGTATACTGATTAGAACCATAATCCTAGCGACTAAGAATTTGACCTGATATTGACAACAAGGACTGACACGACATACAGCGACTAACAAAAGTACCAACGACTTCATTAATTTCATGTTGGCTGGCTTTGATATTGCTATCACAAGCACAAATCAAGATTCAGAATAATTAAGATAACACGAAAGACAGCTTCAAAGCACACTCTCTAGAATCAAACTTCTAACTCTGCAATTCATATGGGCAAGTCATTATGCAAATAGAGAAAATCAAGGCCAAGAAATGAACGACTCTGTTCCCTCTTTGGTATTGGCCATCTCCCCAGGAAACAACTCAAATTCCTTTAAAAAGGACGGCGTTCAATCACAAATTAATAAATTAGAATGTACCACATCACCCTGATCATACCTGATCAAGCATCATTGGGTGAAAGCAGACATTGTATAGAACAATAGCATACTTATGCAAAAAAATCCCTCCTCCAACCCCATTAACCCGAGTAGCCTAAAGAATAAACGAATCGACAGACTGAATGATAATGCCAGAAACTCCAAATTCACTTGTAACCATGACAAGCTCGATTCCACACAACTTAAACAGTCGAACAAATACCGGCAACGCGTATATCGATTTCACTCCTCTACCGAGTCAAAGCACTACCACACAGAATAGAACTGTCAAAGCAAAGAAAAACATAACCAACCCGAAACAGATCCAACGCTGAAACATTAACAGTAGTAACACATTTCAAAATTGAATGAGGTGTTCAAGCTCCAAATTAACCAATACAAGCCCAATCCAGGCTCGCCTCTCATTCATCGTTCGCTCAATCCACGTATCGACAACAAAAGGATAAAAAAAATCCAATCTTGCCCTAACACGACGAACACCCAATTCGCAAACGGACCCGAAAATCAGAACCTGAGCTTGGTGAAGAACCACCTGTTCTTGCCGGTCTTGAACCTCTCCTCGAGCCGCTTCTTGGCCTCCTTGGCGGCGGTGACCCTCTTGTCCTTGCTCTGGAGGGAGTCGGGGGCGACGGCGTCCTTGAGGTCGACGTCGAGGGTGTAGCGGGTGGGCATCAGGTGGCGGTAGTTGACGAGCTTCACGAAGGCCTTCACCCGGGACTTCTTGGCGGCCTTCTTGGCGGAGTCCTTCCTGACGACCTTGCTGGGGTACTTCTTGATGCCGGCGACGAGGCAGTGGGCGTAGGGGCGGTCCCTGGTGCCGTCGTCGAAGTTGCGGACGATGACGGCCTTCCGGCCGGCGTAGCGGCCCTGGAGCACCACCACGGCCTTCCCGGGCTTGAGGAATTTCACCATCTCTGTGCGGTTGCTGCTCTGCTCTTGGAGATCTCTCCGTGCGCGCGTTTTTCTTCTTCGGCTGGGGTTTTTTTTTTTTTTTTAGGGAACGGAGTGAGGAAAGTTAAAGCAAATTTAAAAGGCGGCTTTGGTTAAAAAATAAATTAAAAACTTTTTTTTAAGGTTAATATCAAGAAAAATTACAATATGATATATTTATGATAAATTTATTTTAAATTAATTTTTAAATTATCAAAAATTCAAAATTAATATACTCATGATAATTTTTTGATAATAAAAAATTCAAAACTGATATACCGGTGACAAATGTATTATCTGTTAAATTAGGTCAATGCCACGAAAAATCATAAATTTGTAAATTTACGAAAAATAAAAGGGGTAAAACTATAAATCGGTACACTTGTTAACCGTAATGTATCATCCAACTCGGCAATTTGTAAAAACTAACGAAAGGTAAATTTGTTATAAATGTACAAGTTTGAGATTTTTAGTGATCAAAAAATTAACTTTAGGTAAATTTATTACAAGTGTACCGATTTAAGATTTTTTGTGATATTCCCTTTTTTAAAATGTAATCTTTCCTGAAATTAGCATATTTTAATTCATGTTAGACATAGAAATTATTCATCGTAATTTTGTCGACTTAACGCGATGGATAAAATAATTCATATTCAACTTCAATCCGTTCAAACTCGAATTAATTTTATTAGATTGGTCTATCAACCTAATCACAAAAGTGACTTATATTGGTATATTTGATTTAAGTTAACGATAGTTATCTATAGGGGTAATTACATTGAAAATACATGAATTTTTCCCCACTTTACAATCAAGCACTCGATATTTTTTTTAAATTCAAGGATGACATAGAATGTTGCCATACAATTTAGGGACTAAATTGAATACGTATCAAAAGTTCAAGTTAAAAGTTTATAAATGATATTGTATATTAAGCTAAAATTATTGGATCGCATTAAATAAATCATAAATTTAGGAACGACATTGTATATGAGATCAAAATTTAAGAATCATTTGTGTAATTTTTCTTGACAAGTGAGATGTGTAATTAATTCATTTTCCTTTTTAAGGACGTTTTTGAACGGGAAAACGTTAACGTTAATTGTGGTCGGAGTGTCAACCAGGTGGCCTCACTGACCTAAAAAAGCTTCGAGCGCCGCCGTTCGCGATAACCACGCCGGAGGACGGCACGATGAGCAGCTCGCAAGCCCACCACGACGGCGGCGGCGACGACTCCGACGAGGGCGAGGTCTTCCTCGACGACTCCGACATCATCCACGAAGTCACCGTCGACGACGAAGGTTTCTTCTTCATTTCTTCTTCATCATCATCATCGCTCTGGCTTCTAAATTGCCTCAGAAAGGTTTCGATACACGCACGCAGCTCAGTCTGATCGTCTCTACGCACGAAAGGGTGACGAGGGTGTCTTTCAATTTCTTTACTTGGGTCCATCCTCATTTGATTCTGTTCATGGGTCTGGTAGATGTTCTGTCTCCTTCGTTTCTCTGACTCCTCGATTGTGTTTTGCAGATCTTCCCGACGCCGACGATGAGGCAGACGAGGCTGGTAAGACTAATGCAATAGTTTTTCTTCGTTTTTGTTTGGCTGGGGTTTAGTGAATTCATTGGGTTTAGGGGTTATCACGAGTGGGCGAATTCAGCGGCCTTTGTGCAGTCTAAATTGGAAGTTTATGGTCGATTTTACTGTCGGTTTTTTAACGGCTGATCGTCTCTGTCTTTTAATTTCAGAGGAAGCGGATGACTCTTTGCACATATTCACAGGCCATACTGGTAACTTTTTTGTTCTTGTTCGTTTGCGAGCGACAATTTTCTATGCTTAAAATCCTGCTGGACATGGGTATCATCTAGTCCAGGTTGTATTGGGAGTGGTAGATTGTATGTTTGTGGCTGGTGTTTGTCTTTCAGCTGATTAAACCATTATAGCTATCTATGAATCGGTAAGAACGCAACTGGCAATCTAGATAAGGAATATCTGCTCTCTGTGTACAAGAAGCTGCAGTTTTTGTTCCAATGACATTCAGACGACTAATCTGAATTGCAGAATGGGTTAATCAATTGAGACGAGGGAATAAAGTACTAGTGCTTTTTGTATATGCTAAGGGGGTTCATCAGTGCAAGTGCAAATTCTTAGTGAAACAATTGATCCCTCTGTTAAGTAGTCATGCATTATGATCATGATTGAGAGTTATATTGTAATTACAAACGGCATTGATGGAGGTTCTAGTCAACATCCACCTCAAGTCTTCATTGGGTGTTCTAGAACAAAAGCAGAATTAATTTGTGCGGTTGGTTCAAAGTCTTTGAGAAAGCCTTACTGCTTGAGGGGACTGATGTAGCAGACTGGTCTGATAAAACTGTCCTGCCATGTTGGAGTGGAAATCTTGAATGATCTTATTAGGTTTTATCACCCTTTCTTGTTCAAATAGATGCCAGCTGTTAATTCACTGCTAAAGGGGATTGAGTTGTTCTTTTACCATTTAGTTCTTATTGTATCAAGAAACTAATCGGAAAATTGAATGACAACCATTTAGTTCTTTATTGTGGTTGTGATAGAAATTATTTGGACCATTGACTGTGTAATCTGAAATGTCAGCTTTTTGTGAATAGACAAATTTGTTTATTTGCATTTTACAGATCAGCGTTCACGGAGATACTCAGTTCAAGAAGCATGCCATGTCTTATAGAAGTTTTTTCTGACTTGTCTATTCTCTTCCTCATATGCAGGTGAACTCTACACTGTTGCTTGCAGTCCCACAGATGCAACACTGGTGGCAACTGGGGGTGGAGATGATAAAGGGTTTCTGTGGAGGATAGGTCATGGAGATTGGGCAGTTGAGCTCCAAGGCATGTGCATGTAGCCACTAGTTCCTTCCTATCGAATAGAGACCCATATTGTTGATAATTTACTAGTTATTTATGCTCATGCAGGCACAAATATGTTTGCTACAAGACCCTAATCTTCTAGAATTCCTGCAGGTCATAAGGATTCCGTCTCTTGTTTAGCGTTTAGTCTGGATGGGCAGCTGCTTGGATCTGGAAGCCTTGATGGAGTTATACAGATTTGGGATGTTCCATCTGGAAATCTTAAAGGCACCCTTGATGGACCCGGAGGGGGCATAGAGGTGAAAATTTGAATTGATGAGATTTTGCTGCCTTGACATTTCATTTTCCCAGAAAGGTTGGTGATGAGCTGTGTGATTACTCAGTGGATCAGGTGGCATCCCAAGGGACACTTAATATTAGCAGGTTCGGAGGATTCCACTGTTTGGATGTGGAATGCTGACAAGATGGCCTACTTGAATATGTTTTCGGGGCACGGTAACAGCGTCACGTGTGGAGATTTTACTCCTGATGGTACTGATCTAGTCTCTTTGCTATTGTCTGCTACTAAAGGCGTTTTTTTTTTATCATTATCAACACTATGGCCCTCCTCTTTGCCTAGGGAAGACAATTTGTACTGGCTCGGATGATGCAACTTTGAGAATTTGGAATCCCAAGAGTGGGGAAAACATTCATGTTGTAAAAGGTATTCTTCAACCCTTGCTTAATCTTGTTTGTTGAAGTATTATTTACAGGGTAAAACAGTTGATTCACCAGCTTCGAAGTAGCGTCCTAAGAAAGTGTTGGTGAGGTGATATCTTAGAGTTCCAGGAGATGTTAAATGACTTTTCTTGATTATGCTTTCTATTTTTTGTTTTTAACCATTCCCATCTGATCAAAGAATGTTTTGAAAAATGTGTTCATTGAGAAGAAAAGTTGATGAGGTATAGTATCTCGACTGCATAACCAGAAAGGCCTTGCATTCTTGTAAAAGATGTGCATCACATGTGTCAATACTTTTCTAGATGTGGTAAAAATTCAACTTAATGAGATGTTATAAGGGGCCCTATTCTTACCTCTTGTCGCACTAGAATTGCTTGGATTTTTAAGATCCTTAGAACTCTATTTTGAGACATCTAGTTCTTTCTGCTTCGATAGCAATTTTATTAGCTTTATGGCACCATGTTGGATTATTACGCTATAGCCTAGCATGAGATCTGAGTGAAAGAAGCTCAATCTAAGATTATCATTGATAAAATGTCCATACCAAAAGCCGAAACTAATAGGTGGAGGGACATAACATGAATATTAGGCCTATATAAATCTCATTGACAAGCGATGTGAGATAATTTAAAATGCCCTCTCACATGGAAACCGGACTGAGAACGGCAAGTGAAATTGATGAATGGGGGCCCACACGTGTGGCATAAATTGAGGTGGAACCTGGCTCCGATACTATGTTGGAAAGTTCGATCTAAAAACTTTTAGTAATCGGTGGAGGGAGATAACATCAATATCATGCCCATACAAACTCCATAGATAAATGATAATTTACACTCACCATCAGATTTTTGACATGTGGAAGAATTTCGGTCATGAAACTAACTCCAAACACACTTGTCACTTATCCAATGGTGAGTTTGTAAAAATCTTTTTCTAATTGACAGTGGACTAACAATAATCCCAATCTATATGGTTTCTCTTCCTCCCTGTTTTCATAGAATCATTATATTCTTCCTTACATAACGACAAGAATTTTCTATATCAGCAAAAAGCACTTGCAGTGGAAACAAGTAATATCTATATTTCAAAGATGTTGTATCTGAGGTGAGACAGTTGTGTGGAGCCTTTACTATTCCATCTAAAATACTTGACATCTAATGTGCTCTCTTCAGGTCATCCATATCATGCTGAAGGACTAACAAGCATGGCAATAAGCTCTGATTCAAGTCTTGCTATTACTGGTGCCAAAGATGGATCTGTTCGCATTGTCAATATATCAAGTGGAAGGGTTGGATGTTACTTCTTTTCTTCTTCTTCTTTCTATCTTGAAGCATGCATTGGTGTCAATGAAAAAGTAGGAGAAAAATTAAGTATCACAGGAACTACTCTGGTAGAATCACGGGGAGGGATTTTCTATCTTGAAGCATGCATTGGTGTCAATGAAAAAGTAGGAGAAAAATTAAGTATCACGGGAACTACTTCTGGTAGAATCAT